AAAAAAAAAAAAAAAACTTAATTGCGGGCGCTAACTGTACAGTAGCCCGGCGAGAAAGGTGGATGTTTGACGTATGCATACGCCAAACCATGCAATCTTCGACAGCTTGTTGTTGTTGTTTCTCACATTAGCTCTTTAGTCCACAAAAAATGGGGAGCCCGTGGTCTCAAAACCCGGCATGCATATAATACGACGCCGCGGGGAAACAAAATAACGCAAAAAATAGTGTACAAACCGATCAAAATAATATAACAAAAAACAAGGAGGACTCTTCCCACACCCGCCTAAAGAGAAAATCAAAGGGTAACGTACCAGCACCAGGCACTACGCACCAGGGCATGGGAGTAACGGAGCAAACAGGACAAAGAGGCGGAAGATGGCAAACAGCCAGACGTACAAAAACAAAGGCAACAGCAAAAGGAGATCAAGGTACCCAACTCAGCAGAGTAGGCAGGGAGGACATGAAAAAAATAAACACAACACAGAGGCCGAAGGCAATACAAAGGACACACACAAAGGAGTATAGCATAGTCTAGAGCAGGGGGGGAAACAAGGTGCGAGAACATCAGCCGGGTACATACCGTTCGCCCCGGTAGTCTAGTGGGTAACCTCGCAGCCTGCTAAGGGCCAGGCCATGGGTTCGAGTCCCGGCAGAGTGAGTTTTTTTCTCACTTTATAACTCCTGGTCTAGGATGAAAGCGACGCGCTGCAAAGCTCGTTGATAGTAAACCATAATCGACTCCGTAAGTCGCGAGGGAAGCGGTTGCTGTACCCTTCTCGCGATAAGAATACCTCAGGCAGGAACCGCAGGAGGGGGTTCAGCCCCCCCCTCCTGTCNGATGAAAGCGACGCGCTGCAAAGCTCGTTGATAGTAAACCATAATCGACTCCGTAAGTCGCGAGGGAAGCGGTTGCTGTACCCTTCTCGCGATAAGAATACCTCAGGCAGGAACCGCAGGAGGGGGTTCAGCCCCCCCCTCCTGTCTGACCCCGGTTGGGTCGTCTAGCTAGTAGAAGTGGAGGATACGGGCCAGAGGGGCAGACGACAGAGTACAATGATGGGAGAAATGTATAAATAAATAAAATAAAATTAGTTCGCCACACGTGCTGCCTTGGCCGCCCTAATCGCGTCTGTCTACGCAATTCCCGGTCGCCGTTTCTTCCCCCCACCGCCGCTTCTCCGACTCTCTTTCTCTTCGGTCCTGAGATGGCCGTACTATCTGCTTCTGCTTCCCTCGCGCGCTGGCGCTTCGCGGACGATTCCGCCTCCTGCCTCTGCCATTCATGAACCATGCCGCCCAGTCCTCGACCTTGTTGTACCACACCTCCGGGTCCTTGGCGCACTCTTTCCATTCCCCCCCTTCCGTTTCGTCTCCCATATTGAAGGCCACGAGGTCCTCTCATAAACAAGACGCCCAGTCGCTCTCCTGCCCACCCCGGTATCCCACGCCCCCCGCCGTCGCTCCTATTGTAACAACAGCATACGCTTGGGGAGGCGGTTGTCCTCCGCGCGCAGAACAAAGCCCGCGGAGCATAGCCTCTGTTTGCTCACGGTGGCCTCCATGGTTTCCTCGCAGCCTGCCTGGATGAGGGCCTAGGCATGGCGCAGGGGGCGGTCTTAGCGTTTCCGCTTGCTCCAGCCGATGCACCGTGTAAGGAACTGGCGGTGGGTCCCACTGAGCTTCGTGTAGTGCTCCGCTGTTAGGCTCCACGAGGCGCACCCATATAGGAGAGTCTCCACCACTTCAGCCTGGAGTAGTCGGATCTTGAGCTGGCGGGCGGCCGGTCGCCTGTCGTACATCGAAGCACTGTTCCGGCGGTAGCACTTCCACGCTCGGCAGCTGCGGCTCGTGATCTCCCGGTCGGCCTTCCCGTCCGCGGAGATGGTACATCCGAGGTACACAAACCGATCTGTCTGCTTGTCCGTCTAGCCAGCGGCGCTGACCGTGAACGGGCGTTCCTCGATCCCTTT